CCTCTCACCTCTCCGCTTTAGCTCTCATCCAAAACTTTTTTTTTCGTTTCTTCCAAATTATTTCTCTTTTTTTTTTTTTTTTACGGTATTATAAAATATTTTTGTAATAACCTTTCCTTTTATAAGCAGTTGCTCTTGTCTACCTCACTCTGTCCTTGGTCTTTTACATATATAAATCAAGACCACCTCCCCCATTCGGTCCTTCAAAATCCTCATAGAGATTTATTTCATTATTTTATTCCTTTGTTATTTGTCATTCTGTTTTATTTTTTTCTTCCGTTGCTTGCCCTGTAATTCAAAATTAATCAACTTGGAAAATTTACAAGATTTGGGTTGAAATCTGGTCGGATCTTGCTTTGTGGGGTGTGGCAATACAAACTCTTTTTCTTCTTCACCTCCTATAGAACCAGAACAATTAAAACACCAAAACAACCCAATTCCATTGCTCTTAATACATAGTCTATCTCTGGTTTTTGGGATTGGATCTTTGGAACAATGGGCATGGCAGCAGAGTCACAGTTTCATGTTCTGGCTGTTGATGACAGCATCATTGACAGAAAGCTTATTGAGAGGCTACTTAAAACCTCTTCATATCAAGGTACTTGGGAAATTTTTGTTTCATGAATCATGGGTTTCATTGGTTGTTTTTTTGTTCTGCTTTTATCTAGTTCTAAGTGTCATTCATCATTTGATGCCAATTGCAGTTACCACAGTTGATTCTGGCAGTAAAGCTTTAAAATTTCTGGGTTTACATGAGGATGGCGCAACCAACCCAATACGTCCTCTGTTTCTCCTAACAATCATCAGGTTGGTCATTTCTATTTTAATATATGAGATTTCCAAACTTTTTTTTTATGCATTCTTTTCTATCAATTTCCTTTTTTTTCTTGGTTTGTAAAAATTTCTCTGTGTACAGGAAAGTTGAAGTAAATCTTGTCATTACTGATTACTGTATGCCTGGCATGACAGGCTATGATTTGCTCAAGAAAATCAAGGTATGCTTTGTTTCTGTTCTTTTTCTCTTTTCTCGTTTATCATACATATTCCCTTATTCCTGTCCAGATCTTTTTATTGTTCAAGCCAGGAAATTTTAGGATCTTTTTAATAAAAAAAGATCATTTCTAGATTTGAGATTTTGCCATGCCAAATTATTACTATACCATATTGTAATGAAAAAAAGTTGCCAATATGGGGTCCTATTGCTGCCACTTGCTTGAGAATGTCAATGAAAAATCTTTTGGAATATTTTGCCTCTTGCTTTAGGCAAAGTCAGGCAACATAACCAATGGAAACATGATTTCATGATTTCCTATTTCTCTTTCTTTGTTTTATATTGCTTTCCATCACAAGAAATAGATCTGAGAAGTTTACAGGATTTTTTTTTTATCTAATTTTGCAGGAATCTTCATCTCTAAAAAACATACCAGTAGTTATCATGTCATCTGAGATGTCCCTTCAAGAATCAGCAGGTAAAAAGACCAAATCAAATAATCGAATTACTTTTGAAATTGCTTTAATTGGCAAATAAGAAGGGTAGAAGGGAAGGAATTTGATTTTTGAGGTGAAACTTATTTTTGGTATAATTTTTTTTTTCGCAGATGTTTAGAAGAAGGTGCAGAAGAATTTTTCTTGAAGCCAGTGAGGCTATCAGATTTGAATAAACTTGGGCCCCATATGTTGAAAACTAAATTCAAGGATCACAATCAAAACGAGAGAAGCAAGAAGAAAAAGCAGCCTTTCAATCTCCAAAACGACAAGAACAAGAAGAGCAGGCACCAGCACCAGCAACAATTATTGCAACAACAATCCAACAACAACAAAGAAAAGACATAGAGGAAGGGCTTTCACCTGAGAGGACAAGACCAAGGTACAGTGGCATCACAGCTGCGGTTTAATATCTTGGGAAAGAATGTCATAAATCTTGGTTTTATTGAACATGTAATTCAGATTAAGTTTTCCCCCTTTTTTAGGGTTTTTTAGAATTTTAACTGTTGGTATACATGTTCTACTAGAGGTGTGTGGCGATAAAAGTTCTTATCAATGCATAACAGCTTACATGATAAAGAAAGTTTGAAATTTTCCAATTTTGTTGTGTTATTTGAATTCCAAGACAAAAAACGAAAAAAAACAACAATACAAAACAGTGTCAAATAACAGTATGATTCGAGATATCTGAAAATTGTAAATATCAGCACATTTTCTTATGACAGAGTAGCAGACTGGCGTTCTCCTTTCTTTGCCCTTTTTTTTTTTCTTTTGAAGAAAGGGAGAGTCCTTTTGCCAGGCTTTTTTTCAATGGTAATTGAACCTTGCTAACTGTCAACGCAATATTGGTGAGTGCATGAATTGATCAAAGGCTTGTTTTGGTGTTTGTTTTGGATGATAGAGCAGAAAGGCTTGTTTTGGTTAAAAAAATTGTTTTCTGGTTTTCAAATCAAGCAAATGAGTTTTCTTTTCGGATGTGGTTTGGTGGAATCAATCCCATTGTCACGCAATAAGTTTGTTTAATAACCCACTACTCAAACAAAAAAAAATTCAATGATTTTATGCCGCGTTGCCTGCAAAATGATTCTTTCATTCTGATTTTATTCTTGTCTCATCTTCCTCTTCATTGCCTTTTTACGTTTTTTATTGTTTTATTTTTTCTCAATTAATTTTTATCCTTTTAATTCTATTTTGCCTTTTTTTTATGATTTAACTATCTTTTTCTTTTTAAAACCCTATTTTTTTTATTTTTTAGTCTATCATTAAATTCTTTATCTTTTTATGGATCTAATAAAAGAAGATATTATATGTATATATATAATTTTTTTAAATCGATAATCTTTAAATATCAATTTTAAAATCATAAAACATATTCAAAGAGTTCATCGATATTTAATTTTTAAAATTAAACAAGATAACTCATTGAAATTTTTATTAAAATTTCACTTCAGCATAATAAAATATTTTTTATTCCACATCATTCATTTGTGATTTGTCGATAAAAATGTACATGTCAGCATACTTATTGTTACATCAGCATAATTAGCAGTTTTATTTAATGGCAATTAGTCACAAATGAGAAATACAATAATTAAATTACTCAAAATTGACGTAGACGGATTGATGTGCTCTTTTTATCATATTGTAGACTTGCCGGATACTTACGGGGTGTTTGTAATAGGGTTTAAATTGAATTAATTTGATTAATTAGTCAATTATTAAATTAATTTTAATTGATTATTAAAAATAATTTTACAAAAATTTTAGGTTTTGATTAATTTGATTTAATAATCAAACTTAATTGCAATATAACAAAATCTTATATAAAAATTAAAAAAAAATGAAACATTCATTTTATAAGTTATTAAAGATTTTAAGTTAATATTTTGATGGATGACTTTATTTAGTTTGTTTTAAAGAAAAAATTTTAAGTGAAGTTCATAAAATTTTTTAATATAAATGATTCAATTAAAACTTTAATAAAAATTCAAGTAGATAAATTAATAAAAATCAATGAGAAGATCAATAATATGTAAAAAAAACATTGAAAGTATTGTTTATGATTCAAATTTAATCAAGTAAAAATTTTATTAATTTTTTTATTAAAAATGATTATCTAAAAAATATCAAAATTTATTAGAAATTTTTTCAAAATATATACACTTGATTTATGTAACAAAATTTTTTAATTTATCAATTTTAATTTTTTATTTAATCATTTTTATTAGAGAATTTCACGAACCTCATATAAAGAATTTTATCTACGTCTTCTCCTTGTTTTAAATATGTAAATTAAAAGTTTAATATATAATTTAATTTGAATGTATTTTATTAATTGATTGAATAAATTTAATTTAATTTGAACCATTAATTTTTGAAATTAATAAATTCAATTCAATCAATTCAATTTCAAATATTCGATTCAAAACTAATCAAACTAATCGAATCCTTGTTTTTAATAAAAAATTGTGCAAAATTGTGCGTAAGTGTAGATTTTAGTATAAGGAATAAAAATGTAAATTGGTTGCAAAGTGTGCATTTGTATTTTCCACCCAAAAAAAAAAAAACAATTTCCATGATTACCAAATTTCATCTATTTCCTTATTACAATTACAAACATAAGTGCATTTGTTGAAACTTTCTAGAGCTATGTGTAATACAAATAATGTTGTTTGTTTGCACCCATGAATCGGGCTACGATGGTTCAAAGCCAAGCTCTTTAGGGAATCAAGTCTGCTATCACATCATAAGGAAACTAATACTTAAAATTGATGATAGTAAAGTAATTTTTGTGTCCATCCTTATTATTTAGCGGTAAGAGGGGGTTTTTAAATCATTAGGTTTTATATTTAAATATCATTATTTGTGGGTATGTTTCAATTTTAGGTTGAATTTGTTTAATTATGTTTTAATTTGTTGATTAATTTATTTGATTATAATTGTAATTTATATTTGTAATTTCACTTAATAATAAAAACAAGGGAAGAGGGGAGTGCTTCCACCAAATTCTCACACCACATCCTCTTCTACATTTGGGTTGCTATCCAATCATCTGTCGCCAGTTTGGCCCATTTCATTTCCTTTGACCTTTGGGCTTAAATCTGATTTGTTTTTAAAAATTATTTGATATACGATCAGAGTTTTTTTTTTTTTCTTAAATTTTATAAGAGCGATTAAAAAATGATATTATCATTTTAATTAGTTTTTTATTTTTAATATATTTTAAAAGATATATGTTATTTTGTTAATTTTGTTTGTGAAATTTAAAAATTTTACTATAAGTATATTTAATAATTTCTAATTATTATTTGATTTTTTATTTTTTTATTTTTTGTTCTTAAGATTTTTCCCATTGTTTCCTCATGTCATGTTATGGTAGTTCTTCTCAATTAGTACCATGTGAAACTGAATCAAAGGTCCAAAATTAAATAATCATAGTACTAAAATAGAAAAGGCCCATATAGAAAACAAAAATAAGCCCAAATGTAATCCAAGAGGCCACAATAATATTCACCCTAAAAAAAAAGGGGGGGGGGACTTTCCAAAAGGCAAGAATCGTCTGCCAACTTGCCAGCCCTTTCCACCGGGTTTCTAATTTTTTTTTTTAAGGTAAAGAAAAAAAAAGAACACCGCCACCTTTTATGATCTTCCCTTTTATTTCCGTTTCCAACTATTTTCTCAGCTGAGTTTTGTACGGATCGCCTTCCAGGTGAGAAACCTCAATTCTTTGTTACTTTATTTTTTCTTTTTCCTTTTTTTTTTCGCAAATCTTTACTACTTTATTAAACGCTCGAACCGTATCCGGTACGTATCTTTATGAGATAAATCCGCGTTTCCTTGCATGCCGCCGGAAATTGAAATGAAATTGCTTCCTCAATTTCTGTATCTTATACGATTTTCCCCCTTATTTTATGTTTTTAATTGTCTTTTGTTTCCAATTCAAATGAAAAAAAAAAGAAGAAGAATCATGTTGATCACTGCTTTAAACTTGTAGTGTTAGATGAAATTAGATAAGTTTGAGCTAATATAATCTCTTTTTTAATCGTAATCAAGTTTGTTGTTTGTAAAGTTCTTTTTTATTTGATTGCTGTTAAAGGATATATCTGTTTTGGTGCATATGATATTGGAGCACACGAATTTGCTGTTAAATTGTTGTCGACCTATTTAAAAAGCTGTTAAAACTGCTAAGGCATGTATCAATTGTTGATGAAAGATTGATCAAGAGTGAATTTTGTATAGGTATATTAAATTATTTATTCTTGAATATTTGCTTTTTGTGTTTGATGTCAAATTGTGTCCGTTTTCAGGTATATAGCTGCAGGCAAGGTTGCCTGACTCGTTGTTTCAGTAATCTGGCAAAGACAATTTGTAATTCTTGGTATATTTGTGTTAGGTCAGTATCTTACTTTGTTTGGAACGTGGAGTAAAAGAAATGTCGACTGGAGCGGTAAGAAGGGTTTCACGTCAAGATATACAGCTGGTAAGATGTTGACCTTGATCTTTGCGGTTAAAGAACAATCATGTATAATAAACTGTACACTTATACATTAATTTTGTCGTTTGTATAAATTTACATATTAATTTTGTTTTTTTCCTTTTTCCTTTATGAAAACTTACTAAATTTCCTGCTAATATTATTACTTTATGTCAGACAGAGTGGAGTGAGGTTATTACTGTGGATTGAGTGCAATTATGTAGATATGTTTGTTTAGTTGGTAATTCACATTTTCAGAAATTTTTTTTAGTGATTCTACGATTTCAAAATTTTGAAGCTGTTTAGAGGAACGAACTATTTGGTGGAAATAATATGAAGGACAAAAATATGTTTGGTAAGCTTACAAATATGTAAATTTAAAAGCAAAATCATAGCCTAAATTATTGAAATTGTGGAATCTACCTTTGATTTATGGAATTGGTCCTTGTTTGGGTCAGATACTAGTATCATCCATCTTCATAGTAAACAAACGTTTTTCCAGAGCAATAAATTATCTATATAATTTGTAGTTCGTCAGAAATTTGTAATTCTGACAGGTTTTATATTAATGAATAATTACATATTTGTGCAAAGATAAATGTGAAAGAGGAACAGAAGCTAGCTTGCTTTTTACCATAAAGTGGAAATACACAAAAGACAGAGGCTAGTGGAGATCTTTTAAGGAAAGTGGCACTTGACATTGAAAACAAAATTCTAATGGCCTAGAGATCTCCGTGGATTTTTCTTATAGCCAAGCTATTTTGATCCATTTTTTTAGATGGGCTGCTTTTATTTCACTATAGAAATCACAAGCAGCTTCTAATCTCAGTCTTCATATATTCTCCTTCTGATTAATCCCACCTGATCTACCCTACTACTAACATCTCAGACCTAGAATCTAAATCTCCAATCGTCTCCAGTGATATGGAAAAACAGTCAAACAAATCCTTGGTGAGTCCTTGCAAAACAGTCATTGTATTTCATTTTCACTCTGTAGCTTATATCAAAATAAAATGTTGTGCTTTTGAATTTTGTTTTCTGGGATCAACCATCTTATGGGAATGCTGGAGAAATGGTTAGTCTTGGGATTCTGTTTCCTTGAATTTCCAACTGCATGGAATTTATAATGTTTTTCCTGATTATATGTGGCAATTAGCAATGAATGCATCTTCATATGCTAACAAAGCAAAGTTCAGATAACTGAGAAAATTTATAATTTTAACTGATGTAAGTATTACCTGTCATTTATCCCCTCTTGATGAATATCAGGAATAAAGTTCTTGACAAAGTATAAGCCATTCATTTGTTAAGGAGAGAGGAGTGGATAAATGGGAAACAAAACAAACTGCATAAAACTGTTTCTATTTTGTTCCCCATGTAAAATTAAAATGTATATCTGATGTGCTATTCATTCCACATGGTTGGATGCTATTCGTCCTTTTGTGTGTGTGTGTGGTTGGAGGTGTTTCTACTGTCTTAGATTTGTTTGGCATGTCGGCTCTGAGAGGTAGTGCGCTGTCTAAAGTGTCTAATGGTGTTTTTTCTCTTATGTGTGATTCCAGGTTCAAAACCTTATAGAACGATGCCTTCAACTCTACATGACACAGAAGGAAGTTGTGGAAACTCTGCTGGCTCAGGCCACAATTGAGCCTGGTTTTACTGAACTTGGTAACAGACAGTTTAAATATTTTATTTTGCCATAACATCCACACTTTGTTCTGGTTGTCCGTCCTTATGAAACACCACTAACTTGCTAGATATAGCCTATTATTAATCACATGTTAGAGAAATTATAAGAGATACACTAAATCTATGCTATGACTATATCTTCCATCTGCCAACACTTACAAAAGGAAAAAGAAAAAGAAAAAAGTAGGTCCCAGTATGTAGGAACAGGGGTGTCAATACAGTACCCATTGTTCGCATAGATTGCCTTGCCCTTGTGGTAAAAATCCATTTTTAAGGGAAGCTTATAGGCTTGACAATCCAAACCCCCTAATTTACTACCTAGCTTTAACTTATTGTTGGGTAATGATTGTTGGTCAACTAATGGATAGATAGTTGCCGATCAAGGGTTTCTGCCAATATTTTACAGTCATTACATAATATTATTATTTTTTTTAGTTTGCTTTCACAAATATTTCATGCTTGTCAGTCTGGCAAAAGCTTGAAGAAGAGAATAGAGAATTCTTCGAGGCTTATTATCTGAGATTGATGGTGAAGCAACAAATAATGGAATTCAACAAGCTGCTTGAGCAACAAGTGCAATTGATGCATCAGATTCATCCAACTGGAGTTTCCTCGATCCCTAATTCTAATGGACCTCACATGCCACCGAGTAAGATTGCTTTTTGTTTGGTTGGACATGCTATTCTCATTTTTGTTTAATTGCACGGTTATGCTCCAAATTTGTGAAATTGGGACTTTCTGAGTGTGCCTTTTCGTCTGTTGAGATTTCATTTATTAAACAATCATTATACATTTTTCTAGCAGAAAAGATTGAGGGTAGTTTTTTATGCTCTTTTTATGTTAGTATAACAGTAAAGACTGATGAAAAGAGAAGAAATATGAATCTTGTCTAAATTCTTCTTTAACACTGAGTGTTGACAATATGCATAAAGACTTCATTTTAACTTCCTCCATATCAGTAACTGTGGAATTTGGGTATAGGTAGGACTAGACGTCAGGGTGATTACTTCCTATACACTTATATTTCCATATCCACCTTTGATAAAAGAGACCAGATGCTGGAAAAATCTTATTGTTGCTCACCTTGTTTTCATTTATTAACTGCCCCAGTCTTCTTTTATATTTCTTGCATTTTCATTGATTTATGAGCTTATAGCAATCCCATGATAATTTGATAGATCACTTTTGGTGTGGTAGTTGGTATAATAGTTATTACTCTTACTAATTATTGAGTTTCCCTAAGTTTAGTTGCTGAAAATCTGAAAGCCAAGCTTTGGCTTTCTCCAATTTTCAATTTTTTTGCAACTGATATAGCTTTCTTTTATAGTGCCCCAGAACTCATCCTGCTATGCCCCAGAGAACACAGGACAAGCTCTGAAGCAGGAGAACATGCACCATCCCATGGGATACAGTTTGCCTAATGTATTCACTAATGGTAGTTTGTCATTGCATGCTGGAATGCATTCTCCTATTGAGCTGCCTACCCATGCCAGCAGAATTGAAGTCCCACCAGCCATGCTTTCAACTCAGAGTTCAAACATGGGTCTTATGCAAGGAATAAATGGGAAAATGATAAAATCAGAAGCTGGTTATTCGGGCAGTTCTGCTGACATGTTTGGTGCCGAGAGCAATGTTCTCGAGGCACGGCCAACAATTGGAGATACGTCTTTCAGTACTGTAGAATCAAGCACACAACCACTGAATGAACCACTTCTGGATGCTGACATTTCTTCATTTGGATTTTTAGGCCAGATCCCTCGCAGTTTCAGTCTTTCAGATCTCACAGCTGACTTTTCTCAGTGTTCAGGTCTCTCTCTTTCTGTCAGTTGTGTGGGCATATGCATGTTCCCCATGCCACATTTATTTGTGTGAACGCAAGCATGTGTGTTTGCATCCATATCTTCATTGTGAGTTTATTTTAAACCTTGTGCTAGACTTAGCTGGGTTTGGGGGTCTTTTATGAGTTAGCTATCTAAAATATATAGTCCTGTGCATGAGCAAGTATTTGGCCTAATTAGCATTTGTTAATTCATATATGAAAAACACAATATTTTAAGAATAACCTCTTAATAATTTCAGATATATTTATTCCATATATACGTGAACCAAAAAGAAATCTAGATTTACTTACTTTCAGAATAACCTCTTAATAATTTCAGATATACTGGAGAGCTACCCCCGGTCACCTTTTTTAGCAACAGATAATGAAAATTTCCTGGATTCTCATGAAAGAGAACAGCAAGGTGATCGTTTTTCCTCCCTTGCCTCATTGAAATATTTATATATTGAATTTTGTTAGTTGTGATTTATGAAGTTTGTGACATTTTTGTCTTTGGCTTATAGGAGATAACAAAAGGTTGGACACCATATCCGAGGGATTGAGTTATGAAGATTTTAGAAATGAATAGTCCTACAATGTCGATGGTATTGATTTACAAAGATATATATATTTATTTAGTTTCTGTTTTCATTTATTGGCTGTGCTAGCTACTGTTTTGGAATTTACTTGCATGTTGGATCCTTTCGAGACGATTTTTTTGCATCTGCTAAGATTCATTTCTGCCAATGTTATTGCATTTTCTCAGTTTCATTTTCTTTTGTCAATAGATTTTTCTGTTTTGTATTATATCATAAAACAACCAAGTATTACTTAATCTTTGATTTGAGCCTTGAATATTTTCAGTTAAATATTTGTTCAAACTATTACAATTTAACTATGAGATCTAGAAAATGTAGTTGGTTATCTGTTTTTCACCTCTTGTTCTTTGCTTGACTTTTTTTTTCTTTATCGTCTAGTAAGTTACAAAAAGTAGTTTGATATTCAGCATTTTGATACTTTTTTATGCTCTCCTTTTCAACTTTAATTAATTGCATTTGGGTTTTAACACAATGATCTAAATATCTAATTCATTCTTCAATAATAAATTTGATGAGCTTCTTTCAACCACAAGAAAATGCTCACATAAATTGAAGTGAAACTACTCTTTTCACTGTTTCATATTTGTCCATTACCATGCGATGTCTTCTATATTCACTTGTGCACATATGCTAGTTAACTGAAGAATGCTCATGGTTATTGTTTGAGTTCAAGTAATGGAATGGGTTAGTCATTTTATTACAAGGTAGTCAATGTGATCATATTTTGATTCTTGTTTCTCTCAACTTACAATGCAGTGTTAGTTTTAGACTGCTTGTTTCTTAACTAACAAAAATTCTCTGCTGTCACTGCACAAGCTTAGTGAGAAAAGGTGATTGGTCATCTTTTATTAAGAAAACAACCAAGACTTTCATGTCATATGTATTAAAAACAAAAAAGAAGAGGAAATAAAAAGCAGTATGAAATTCTGAAGGAGTTATTAATAATTTAAGCATTATCATTAGTTTTGTGTTATCAAAATTTTCTTCCTTGGCATTTTTGTTTTATTTGGTGGAAAGCAATCACTTACAATGCATTTTATGCAATGTTTTACTGCAGGTCCAGCTGATCCCCAAGGTAAAAAAAAAAAAAAAAGGGTTTTTGTATGTAGCATTTTAGAACTCATCTGCTTTGATTGATGGATTGAAGAAGTTCACTGACCTCATTCCGTAGTGATGAAAATAGACAATAGGACGGTTTGGAGAGGCATAAAGAGGTTAAAAATAAATTCAAACAAAACATACAGTTTTTTTGTGCCAATAATGTTTACTATATAATTAATGCCTTTTGTTTTTGAACGGGGATTGTGGAATAATATAATGTTTTATTATGTGGATTATGTTCCAAAATAGTTTTGTGGGGTTTAATGTTAAAAGTTTATTAACCAATATGCAGAAATATGAATATCAGACGGTTTTATGATCTGGTTTTAGATTTGTCTGCTGGAATGGTTTAAATTTGCCATTCTGCCCATAATTTGCACCCCCTGATTCTGTACGACTAAAGTTGAAGGTGACCATTTCATGCCGTTATTTTGAGTCAGAGACAGTTTCACCCTCAATTGTGAAATTGTAATTTCTATTTCTATTTGATGATTTGGTTTTAGCCAATGCCAGCGGAGGGATATCAAGTTGACTTTTAACATGCAACAACTTTCAACTTATGCTGCACATAAGTTGTATATGTTTGTGTAGCACAGCGATATCAAGTTGTATTTGTTTGTTAATTTATTTTCCTTTGGTCAAATGAGGGCATATCTCATGCGCTCTAAAATTGAGCCTCCATGATCATCTATTAAGGTACCTTTGTTAATTTCAAACATGGTATATGGATATGATACAAATAAAAAATATGAAATGATATGGTTTAAAATTTTAACAAAAATTATAAATAAATTTAACAAAAAAAAAAAAAATTTTATGATTTCATGTTGACATTAAATATAAAACATATTTTGTTATGTAAAACAAAATATGAATGCATGAATTTCTAATATTTTACATCACATGAATATATGAATTGTTAGTTTTCTTTCAACCATTATATATCAATAGCTTTTTTTTTTTTTAAATAAAAACATTTAAAAAAAAATAAAAACATGTTTAGTTATTGTAGATTTGTCCTTAATCCCTCTTATAATTATTTACTATAATATTTTCGTATCATAATTATACAAATATCCCTTTGATTTAAATTACTATAATGTCATCATATCATAATTACGAAAATATTTTCTTCTCATAAATGATTAAAATTATTATAATACTTTTTCTATCATAATTACAAAAATACATTTATAAATGCTTAATAAGAAGTTGATATGTGACATTTTGTTCCAAAATTAATAGTATATATTAAAATAATCCTCTTCATATAATAATCCTTTTTTTATATAATATTGACATGTATTCAAATTTACTACAATACTTTTCTATCATAATTATGAAAATATTTTTCTTATAATTAGTTAAAATTACTACAATACCCTTCCTATAAAAATTAAGAAAATATCCCTAGCATAATTAAACAAAAATTACTATAATACCATTCATATCATAATTATGGGAATGCTTTTATAAGTACTTCATAGGAAGTTGATATGTGTTTTGTTTTTCCAAATTAATATAATACTTCTATAAAATTATATGTTAAATTTTAATATATATGAAATTAACCACATATTAAATTATTAATATATTCTTGCCATTGCTTTATAAAATTTTGACATTTGACATTTTATTTAAAAATTACTACAATATTTTTATTAAATTACATATGAATTTTTAATATAATATAAAATTAATTAAGTATTAAATTACTAAAATTTGCTTGCCATTGTTTCATAAATATTTGACATGTGAAATATTGTTTGAAATTTATTGTAACACCCCTATCAAATTACTTATTAAATGTTAAATAATATGTATTAAAATAATTCTCATTAAAATTACTATAATGCCTTTTTATTTATTTAATATGATATTGATATGAATTTAAAATTATTATAATGCTTTTCTATTATAAATTCAAAATATCTATTTTTTTATACTTAGCCAAAATTATTATAATGTGGTCCAATTATATTTATAGAAATGCCTCTCATACTATAATTTGTCAAAATTACTATAATACCTTATTATCATAATTACAAAAATACTCTTTCTAACATAATTGACAAAAATTATTATAATATCTCTTATACCATAATTATAAAAATACCCTTCTGTCATAATTGACAAAAAATTATTAGGGGCGAGCAATTAATCAATTTAGGTTTAAAAAAAATTAATAATTAAATTAACCCGACTTTTATTTGACAAATACTTGAAGTGACCAAAAACCTTTAATAATTGATCATAACCAAACTGATCAAAATCAGTTTGGTTCGGCCAGTTTGGTTAAATAACCAAACTTTTTATTATTTTTTCTCCTATTATGAACAATTATTAAGCTAAAAATTTAATCCAATAAAACTTAAATTTAAGTATCATTCAAATTAAATCATTAAAAAATTTAATAATTTCAATAATAGTTTACAAGAAAAAGACACATAAAAATACTCATATCAACTTTTTTACTTTTACTTATTAGAAAGTCAGTTGATTCGATCGATTCGATTGTCAGTTTTAAAAATCGAAACTAGCCAATTTAATCAATTTAATTAATTCAAAAAATCGACTATAATCAATACTAAATAAACCAAACTAAATTGATAATTTTTCATTAGTTTCAATTGATTAAATTGGTTTGAACCAGTATTTTGCTCAACCCTAAAAATTATTATAATGCCCCTTATACTATATATACCCTTATGAGTACTTTATAAGAAGTTAACATGTAATATTTTATTTTAAAATTATTATAATACTCTTATTAAATTAAGTATTAAATTTTAATAGGATATAAAATTAACAAATTATTAAATTATTAAAATATCTTTGCTTTTGATTTATAAAATTAAACATGTGATATTTTATTAAAAATAATCAAAATTAAATGATCAAGTAAATTAGATAATTATAATTTTCAAATATCGTATTGCTACTTACTATTTAAAAAAAGAAAGAATATTTTTTTGCACAAACTGTGACGGTTGAGTTTTAAAACTGAACTTAGAGCACGTGTCGTGAGCTTTAAAAATTTCATTATCTTTTTCAAAAAAAAAAAAAAAATCCATTGTCTTGAGTATATGTAATTTTCCTTCTAAAGGGTTTTTAAATTAAGAAAAGCATGAGACAACATGACTAATATAGTCCATAAATTTTATATTATTCGCATTGATATCCCAAACTCCTTTAAACTAATTAAAAAAAAAAGAAAAGGAACAACCATACTTTTTTATACTTAACGAGTTATATTCAGCTACTCTTGATTAACTTGAAATTAACCTGTCATTTATGAACTCATTAATTATATAAAAAGTTTAAAGCCTGTATGGGCAAACTCCATACAGCATTTCACTAAGTACCTAAGCTAACAAACATACTAAAACTAAACAACAAAAGTCACCAAATAACATACCAATAAGCTTTGATGGCTTAATCTCGACAGCATGTATAGCAGGCAGCAACTACAAAGGGCCAGTTCTGAGGGCATTGTCCAAATCTGCAATGAGGTCATTTACATCCTCGATGGGACATGAAGCAAGGCATGCTTATGAGGGATTTCACGCTCCCTAATAATTTAATGACAACCACATAGTGAGTTTCGTTCGCAGTCCAAAGGTTCAACCATCTAAAACATTAGTTAGCATTATATCCACCAAAATGTTACTGCCGCTATCAACTATCTTGCAACTTATTTTGCAGAACAAACACAACTTGATAATCCTATTCGATCACAAACTTAGCATTATAAGATTCAAAGTGATCATGGTGATGTAAAATATAAAAATATTATCCATGAAAGCATGCAAACTGTAACAGGTGAAAGATTCTCTCCAGCAGAAACAATCCTTTGTCCTTCCATCAACATTTAAGACTCTTTTAAGTTATTTTCTCTTCTTTTTCCTTTTAGGACATATCTATATGGTTTTCCCCCTTTCTTCCCTCTTCAAGAAATGGAATTTATTAAGGCAAGTGACACAAATTCCATCACAGGAGAAATTCACAAGTTCGGATTGACAACTGAAAGTGTTGTTTTTTTAAAGAAGAATATTTAGTACTAAAAGTTCGATGAATATATTATATATTTTTGGAGAACAATATGGATCCTCACAGAATACAGATTTTGGTAATCATTTTAGGATTGTTCACGTGAATCTCATAAAGAAACCAATTGCTCAAGATTAAGATTTATGCAAGGCATGTATATATACTTTGGTTAGGAAGTGTTATTACCGTAGCTAACCGTTATGCTGAAGTATTTAGTAGTCTCAACAACATGCTTCGAGAGTGCCAGAGAACCTGGCAAAAAACAAAGCACAGATCCTGCACCCTTTGCCTGCAAGAGCGAGTTTAGGGTATTTAATGCAAGGATGTTAACAAAGATGTTGAAATTGGAATTTACATCTATCACCAGTACCTGAGAATAATGTAAATCATGCCCAGGGTGATCAAGAAGACCAGCATCGTTAGCTTTCTTCACTAGTGAATGGAAAGAAAGGAACTCAGCTATCTTCTGTGCGTTTTCCTATCGGGGATTCAGAAACCTTCGTTTCAAGTTTGAACTCAACCAATTTCAACTGTTGCAAGTATGGGAAAATAGTAACATAGCAAGATAGAAGATTGCTAAAGCCAGAACATAACAAACAGTAAAATTCTTCAGTAGCCTTAACTAAAGTAGATGATCACTGCAAAAATAATGTCAGGATACAGTTAACAGTGACAGAAAAATGTGTCTAATTTGTCAAAGTACAAAACTGAACATCATTAAAACACACTAGTGGCAGGGGCAAATCTTCCCCCTCCCCTTCCAAGCTATTGCAAATCCCATGAATTTCACCCTTTTCTCAGCCACAACAAATAGTAAAATTTTGTTTTGACCCTGCCTTATAAAGAAATTTCCATTTCAATCCATATGACATAATA